GAGCAGGGCCGGAGGCCTGGACCCCAGCTGGCAGGGGGCCGGACGGCTGGAACCCCAGACCAGCAGCGAGGTGAGTGGGGCCGGCGGCTGTTTCCCCAGGCTGGCAGGAGGGCTGAGCAGGGCCGGAGGCCTGGACCCCGGCTGGCAGGGGCCGGGCGGCTGGAACCCCAGACCAGCAGCGAGGTGAGTGGGGCCGGCGGCTGGTATCCCAGGCTGGCAGCAGGCTGAGTGGGGCCGATGGCCGGGTCCCCAGCTGGCAAGGGGCCGGCGGCCGGAACCCCTGACCGGCAGCGGGCTGAGCTGCCAGCCAGGGGTTCCATTCACTCAGGCCGGCAGCGGGCTGAGCGGGGCTGGCGGCCGAGACCCCGGCTGGCAAGGGGCCGGCGGCCAGAACTCCAGACCGTCAGCCAGAACTACAGCCCTCCATACCTCCCACAGGTCTTGCTCTTGTGTCCTCTCAATTTGGATTAGAAGCTTCTTGCTCCTCCAAACTGCTAGGCCCAGAACGGGGAGTATTGAGAGTACAGGAGAGATAGGGGCCCTGATCTCATTTCAGGTACCCAAATCCAGTCCCGACACCATCTACAGCAGCCCAGAGCTGCAGGGAAAGTCCTGCTCACCCTCAGACTGAAGCATGTTTGGTGTGGATAGAATCTTCAGGGAATTTAGCTTCTAAAATCTGAAAAGTCTCCACTAAACATACGCAAACTGCAATTGTTCAAAGGCTTATAACTTGGCAAGGTTTGGGCATAGTTCTAAGGGGATGGCAAAAGTCACATTCCTGACTCAAAGCCCTCTGCCAAGATTATGTTTAGGACATAGGTGGTGGTGCCTAATGGTCAGAGCCATGAAGGTGGCCAGGCCTGGAGGTTAGCGCCAAGCCAAGCTGGAATCAAGAATCAGGGCCCCGGGGTACAGCTGAGAGAAGAGCTGGGCAGGGGCAGGCACAGGCATGGAACATGTTGAGCGGCCAGCAAGTTCTGGGTACTGCTGGGTCAAGTAGGAGCTTAGCTCTGCACCGCCGCCGATCAGACGGTGCAGTCAATCAGGCAGCCCTTGCCAGACTCAGCTATGCGTATTATGTTGCTAGGAGACTGACCCTGCTGCAACTGGCTCCCTGATACTGCTCCCACTCCTGCCAAATTTCAAGTCCTTGCTCTGAATCATGAGAAGCGGGAGGGTCAAAGAAAAAAAATGGCCGAATTTTTTAATACAGGTACAATAATGTATTTTTCCCTAGGCTCATTCTTGGAAATGTCTGTTTTGGCAGAAATGTTCCCCAGAACAAGCCAGCCTGAGGCAGACACCCAGCATGGCAAATTTTAGCCCAATCAATTAAAGTTTGGCAAAGTTATAAGCAACTGAAAACAGGCTCTTCGAATGGGAAGTGTCAGGCAACCTTAATAGTATGTGGTGTCGCCAGCCCTTCCAATAATAAAGAACCAGAAATGGTGGTGTTTGATTTTAAAGGTTTTATTGATAGTTATTTAGGATGAGGCATATCACTCAATCTGGCTTCAGTAATATACCCATCTAAAACTCATACCTTGCAAAGTTGCAAAAGCCATGCACAGAGGGAATGCACATCTTTCCTTGGCTTACAAGCAGTAGAATAGTCAAGGCTAAACTGAGGTTGCCCACTTCTCACTGGGCAAATACAAGCATTTAGTTTAGATTAATTTACCCACTTCTTTTTTTAACCACTGCTTACAAGCCACTAGAATCCCTTGTACAGCCACTGACTAACTTGCACGTTTGTTTCATGCAGGATGAAGGATGCAGAGTAAAGTTAGGAATTACAACCATTTTTATAAGTTCAGGATTAGTTCCCACATTTGAAGATACTTTGCATACAAGTTTCTTTTCATGTGTGTGTTTTTCTATAGTGTCTTTCCACACCATCTTTAGCCAATGGTAGTAGTAGATATATGGGGCTTAAGCCCCTCATTGGCAGCTAATATTTAGGGCAGACTTTAATCTTTTTTCTCTCTTATGAACTGTTTCCCAAGTTTTTGGAAGAGGGGGGTCCTTCCAGACACTCTCTCCCTCCATTTCATTTCCACCAATTAAACTGTTTCAAGTAACAGTTTGAAATTTTGTCAGGTTTCTAACAAGTTGCCAAAGTTTAATCATTTTGACCCAATAGTTTGAAAGCTCATGTGCAATGCCCAAAGGGTGAAATTCACGTCTGTGCAGGGGCGTATACACCACAAGGTCCCACTTCGGTCAGTGGAAAAATAGTGCACAAATAATCAAACTATTGACCAACCTGTTCTCAAAGTATGTGCAATGGCCTGTTGTCGAGATGCCATTTAGTTCCATCACAGAGCACAAGGGAAGCCTGCCAGACATATTTTAGATTGTAAAGGAAACAATTGAATTGGAATCCCATGCTTCAGGAGCACTGTTCAATTACAGTGCATGTTTAAAACAATATACATTTATGCAAATAAAAAGGACATCTGGCTCTCCCCTTTATCTCTCTCCCTCTGGGTTGTTTTTCCTCTTTCTCTACCCTTTGTTTCTCTTCTTTCCCTCTGTTTCTTCATCTAGGCCCTTACTCTCTCCTCCACTTGCCATCCTCCATTCTGTTCTCCCCCTATAATTTCCTTTCTCTCTCTTCCCCTCTCCCTACTGCATGCCCTGTGTGCATTCCTCCTCCCACACTGGATGGCCCCTGCACTCTCCCCCCTTCCCCACTGCATGTCCTCTGCGCTCTTTTCTCCATCTTTACAAAGATGCTTCTAGGTGCTACTCCTACAGTTCCAGTGTGAATGCATAGTCCAATCTGACTGATCCACTGATAGTAAGTATTCTAGGTGTGTGTAGGTAGCAGTATATTTGCTTTCGCTGTGAGTAGTCACATACCATTGCATTCAGAAGTGCCTAAATCTTCTCAAAGTAGTTCAGCCTAAATCTGCACTTCAGAGGCCTTTCTTTAAAGAGAAAAGATCAAAAAGAAGAGAGAAAAAGTCAGTCCTGTGTGATATCTAAACATGGCTGTAAGACAGAGTGATGGGACAAGCTGTCTCTGCTTTACCCTAGAGACAAACACAACTCTTGAAAACTGTGCACACTGAACTGCCCTTGGAAGCTATGTGTCATCACCTACATTTAACAGTGGTATCAGCAAAGCAAGCTCGATAAAGCATGTGTTGAAGGCATGTGAAGGAATAACTTTTCAGCTGCTTTTCTCTATGCCAGATGATTCCATTGTTGAGATCATCTGTCCTGGTGATTTTGTAAACAAGGAGTCACATGGGAGAGAAGGCTCCTTCCCTTCCATCCATGCTGAGGAAAGACAAAGAGATGAGAGTTTAGAGATCGGCCTGAGCCAAAATCTTCCTTCCCTTGAAAACTAGAATTAGAATCTGGATTTCACAACTGATCTCCATCTCTATGATAGTCCAAACCAAAACCTCTGACCTGAATACCCCGGACTTGAAAGGGCACATTCCAGATCTAAAACCATTAGTGAAGTTTAGTACTGATAAATATGAAATGCAGAATACCCACAAACTCTAACCCTAGCCATCACCCTAATCTTAACCATTAACTCTAACCACCTCTGTTACCCTGACAATAATCTTAATAGCAAATGCTGTTTGAGCCCTAAGCCCTGCTTTTGCCTTAACTCTAAAGATGACCATATTACCTTAAGGTTACCTATAACTGCAAATCTAATTGTAGCCAAAACTCTAAACAAAGCTCAAGCCTAGCCCAAAGGTAAGCCCTAACACCAATCAAATTCTGGTGTTTATTCCTTAAATGAAATAGGATGCGATGGAGTGCCTACCCTACACTTACATGAAAAGGGTTAACTGGAAATAGAGAGCTCTATTAAAGTACCTGGCTGCACCTGGAGGGTGGGCCAGCAACTACTGATGAATACCAGGGAGGGGAGGAGCTGGGAGCTAGAATAAAGAGAGGAAGTGTGTAGTTGTAGCGGGGGGAGGCCAGCCAGCTGGATGGTTGGGATTGATTGGGCTGCCTCTCTTGGCAAGATGAAGAACTCATGAGTGGTAGAAAGATGAGTCAGTTCTTTGGGGGAGCTAGCAAAAAGAGTGTGAGAATCTGTCTTGGCTGGGAGGAGCACTCATAGAATCATAGAATATCAGGGTTGGAAGGGACCTCAAGAGGTCATCTAGTCACTGGGAGGAAAAGTTTGTTTGGAAAAGGCAGAGGGGAACATGGGCTGTTTGGAGTGATCCAAGAGCCAGCCCACCTTGATTCGGAGAAGCAAAGCTCATTGCCTGGTGCCCTCTCGTTTCAACTTCCAGTGACCCAGATACTGATGGTCTGTTTTATTACACAGCAAACCTTGAGTCACAGCAGACTTTCAATATTGTCTGTTGATGAAACAGGCACTGTGCTAATAAAATAAACCACCCCTTGTACTTCTTCTTCGCCTCACTGAGTAAATATAAAATAGAGAATCCAATATAGGCAAACAAAAGTTAAGTGTACAAAGGTTTCTTCTCCACTCTCCTTTTCTCCCCATACAGTTAACACCTCCTTATCACTCTGTGTTAGTAAAATAAGAATCATGTCCTATAATGAGAGATGAGCCTGTTACCTTTGATAGCACAAACTATTTCCATCTGGCTTCTGCTCAAAGCAAATACTTCTCCACATCTCTGCTGACCATACACTTCCTCAATATCAGTTACTACAGTGCAAAAGAAAGATAAAATAGCGTATATGATTATGATGATGATCTTATTTTCATATAGCTCCTTTTATCCCTCAGGAGGGTTCTCAACATGCCTTACAGGCATTACCAGCAGCTTTATAAACTATATATAGAAACCACTTCACTCACTGCTGAAGTACAGACACGCTTAGGGTGAAACACAGCAGCTGTTTTGAAGCGGCACAGCTATAGTTTAGGACAGGAAGAGGAGAATACAGTCTGTGTCCCACTGAAAATGCAAGAGGCAATACTTTAGGTAAACAGAACATAATTATTAAAAGCGTAATGCAAAGAGAACACTATAATTAACTTCTTCTTTCCTAATAAGTGCCATGGGACTAAGGCAAGCGTAACATACTTCTCTGGACGTTTGGCAAAATCTGATCATCTGCATGTTCAATTGAGAGCTGGTATTTATTAAATTATTATGTAATTACAAAAAAAAAATGTCTGGGCTCAATCCGGTACTGAGTTCCTCAGAGGTGGGAAAGCTACAAAAAAGTCAGCTACTGTTCCCTGACCCTGGGGACAGCTGGAGGCCTAACAGCCAATAGTTTGCATTTCAAACCAAAAGGGTGCTCTATTTTCTATACCAATAGCAGCACTACATCTGCATTATTTATTTGATACACCTCTTGTTCCCTTTGCTCATCTAGTTCCCAAGTGATTAAAAAGCTGTGCATTTTTGCTTTTAAAAATGAATAGCAAACAAATCTAAAAACACTTGTAAATGAAGATTGTAATACATGGGGATCTAGCTACGAACAGATGTACAATGTAAGGGCAAAATTCTCCTCTCTGTTGCATTGTCCTTGTCCCATAAGTAGCGCTCATATTGACATTAATGGGAGTTCTGGCCACCATGGAATATCTTACGGACATTCTCAGTGCAGTGCAGACAAGAGAGAATAATTTTGCCCTGAGGCTGTAGCATATTCAGGGGTTTAAGGTGAAAATATCAATTATGTATCAACTATGAAAGCAAAATGAATGGTTTGTACATGTCACTAAAGCTTCACTTTATAAAACCAGCCTTAGGAATAGTAACAGTTTGTGTATGTTTTATTATAACGTATTACGATAACCATAAGCCACAGATGCCTGCAGCACTATTCTTTCCCTGATTTATGTGCACAGCTTCCATTAATGCTAGTGAGTTTTCTGTGACTATTTCAAAGGGAGAATGCCCCCAAACCCCAGACAAACACTTTAAAATATTTATTCACTTACTCAATGTACTTCTGTGACAAACGCAGGAATTTTGGCAACATTTTTATGAAGTCAATACATGCCTTGTTTTCCCTCTCCTCTTGGTATTGCTGTGCATGGAGTGGACAAAGCAGGAAACATGAGGTCTTTTGTCATGTAATTGTCTTGGAAAGGTTGTTAAGGACTGGCTGGGAACTAACCCATATCAGTGGAAGACACTAAAGACACAGTGGAAACCCTAAGGACTGAACATTTGACACCTATCAATGGGAGGCTCCCAGCTTGGCTGGGTGGAACACACATGAACTCAGGAAGAAGGCAATGGGGGAAGGTGGCAGGAGGTAATAAGAACTGGGTTCAGAGAGAGAGAGAGAGAGAAGCAGGGTACAGATCTCTCTCCTGGAACTAAGACTTAAAGGTTTTGTCTACACTGCTAATTGAACAACAAAACTTTTGTCATTCATAGGTGCTTAAAAAAAGCTCCCCCCTCCCTCCAAAAGACAAACGTTTTGTAACAGTAAGTGGCAATGTAAATGGCTCGTTGATGGCAGGAGCGCTCTTCTGTTGACAATACGAACCCCACACGTAGGGGGTGGAAGTATTTTATCTGCAAAAGTGCTGACAAACAGCGTTTACTCTGCCTGACTTTTAGCAACACGGCCGTGTTGACACAGCCATGTCGCTAAAAGCTGTGTAGTGTAGACATAGCCACTGGTCTGTTGTCCGACCTCGGGCCAGCCACTTACTTCCTGTATTTCTCCCCGACTTTGGTTGTCTTGTCTATTTAGATTGTAAGCTCTTTGGACCAGGAACTCAGTCACTATGTGTTTGTGCAGTGGCTAGCACAATGGGGTCACAATGTAAGTTGGGACCTGGGGCTGCTGAACTACAAAGAACAAATAATTACAAGGCAGGGGAATTGGTGTTTTAAAGGTCTAGCATTATAACTACCCCAGGACTGTCAACTCTCATAATTTATCATGAATTTCATATCTGGTGTCTTTCTTAAATCTTCAGCTCCTGGGGAAAAGGTGATGACACAGATCAGGTTTTTTTTTAAAGAAGTTTCTACTAGGGCTGTCAAGCGATTAAAAAAATTAATCGCAGGATTAATCGCGCTGTTAAACAACAATAGAATACCAGTTATTTTAAATATTTTTGGATGTTTACTACATTTTCAAATATATTAATTTCAATTACAACACAGAATACAAAGTGTACTGTGTTCACTTTATATTTATTTTTATTGCAAATATTTGCACTGTAAAAAAACAAAAAGTTGTATTTTTCAATTCACCTCATAGAAGTAGTGTAGTGAAATCTCTTTATCATGAAAGTTGAATTTACAATTGTAGAGTTATGTACAAAAACAACTGCATTCAAAAATAAAACAATGTAAAACTTTAGAAGTCCACTCAGTCCTACTTCTTGTTCAGCCAATCACTCAGACAAACAAGGTTGCTTATAATTTGCAGGAAATAATGCTGCCTGCTTCTTGTTTACAATACCACCTGAAAATCAGAACAGGCATTTGCATGGCACTGTTGTAGCTGGCGTTGCAAGATATTTACGTGCCAGATGCACTAAAGATTCATATGTCCCTTCATGCTTCAACCACCATTCCAGAGGACATGCTTCCATGCTGATGATGGGTTCTGCTTGATAACGATCCAAAGCCGTGCAGACTGACACATGTTCATTTTCATCATCTGAGTCAGATGTCACCAGCAGAAGGTTGATTTTCTTTTTTGGTGGTTTGGATTCTGTAGTTTCCGCATTAGAGTGTTGCTCTTTTAAGACTTCTAAAAGCATGCTCCATACCTCCTCCCTCTCAGATTTTGGATGACATTTCAGATTCTTAAACCTTGGGTTGAGTGATGTAGCTATTTTTAGAAATCTCACATTGGTACCCTCTTTGTCAAATCTGCTGTGAAAGTGTTCTTAAAACGAACATGTGCTGGGTCATCATCCAAGACTGCTATAACATGAAATATATGCAGAATGCAGGTAAAACTGAGCAGGAGACATACATTTCTCCCCCCAAGGAGTACAGTCACAAATTTAATTGACCTGGAAACACTAGCAACAGAGGGTCCTGTGGCACCTTTAAGACTGTTAGTCTTAAAGGTGCCACAGGA